CACCTCCATTCCAAGGAAATATTTGAGTTGTCCTAGATCCTTGACTTCAAACTGGTTGGATAAGAAGTTCTTCAACGACTCCAACTCTACTGTGTCATCTCCTGTCATAACAATGTCATCTACATACACAATTAAAATAGCAATTTTACCATTATTGTGTTTGTAGAAAATAGTATGATCAGACTGGGCCTGCATGTAACCATGTTGTTTCACAGCTCTCGTGAATCTCTCGAACCAGGCTCTCGGAGATTGTTTCAATCCATAAATGGATTTCTTTAGCTTGCAGACCCTGCCATCCTTCTTCAATTCATCAAAGCCTGGAGGAACTTCCATTAACACCTCTTCCTCTAGCTCACCGTTTAGGAACGCATTCTTCACATCAAACTGTCTGAGAGTCCAATCCAGATTGGCGGCTAGTGAGAGTAGGACACGTACGGTGTTTAGTTTGGCCACAGGTGTGAAGGTCTCCTCGTAGTCAAGGCCGTATGTCTGAGTGAAGCCTCGTGCTACGAGTCTTGCCTTGTATCTCTCGACCGAGCCATCTGCATGGTATTTGATGGTGAACACCCACTTGCTGCCTACAGATCGTTTCCCCTCAGGTAAAGGAGTTAGATCCCACATGTCATTCTTCTTCAGGGCCTTTAACTCCTCAAAAACTGCCTCTCTCCATCTCGGAACTTCTAGAGCTTCATGTATCGACTTAGGTAGTGCATCATCCATAATCCTGGTGGAAAAAGCTTTGAAATCTGGAGAGAGTTTATTATAAGATAAGAAATTAGATATTGGATGTTTTGTTGTACATGATCTAACACCTTTGCGCAAGGCTATGGGTTCAAAGAATTCTGTAGAAGACTCTAAATTTGGAGAAGAAATAGGAGAAAGAGAAGTCGTACCTTGGACCATAGTCGAGTCTAATGGTTGGCATACCTTGGGGGCCGGTGGAACATTACTTGGTCGAGTCATCCGTCTAGAATAAAACGAAGTTCAGTAGGTGGTTCCAAGTTGGTTTCTACCTGAGTCTCACGAGGTTGTGAATTTATAGGTTGTGAAATCCTAGGATTAGTTACGGAAATATGAATCGGTTCCACTGAGCTATTTACAACCGATTTTGGCAAGGATGTTTGTTCCCAAAAACTCATTTCAGAGTCATTCTCCCCCGGAAGAGAGTTTTTGTCAAAAAAATGTTGTTTTTCAAAAAACGTGACATCCATACTCACATAATACTTCCCAGATTTAGGATCAAAGCATTATACCCTTTTTGTGTTGGTGAAAAACCTAGAAATATGCATTTATGTGCTCGGGGATCGAGTTTTCCTCTAGGTGTTAAATCAGTGAAAGATCTATTTTCAGGAAACATATTCTTTAGAGCTTGCAAAGGAGTAATATAATTAAGAACTCTTGTAGGCATTCGATTTATCAAATAAGACGCTGTTAAGAGTGCTTCATTCCAAAAACGATTAGGAACATTCATAGCAAACAGTAAAGCCCTAGTCACCTCTAATAAATGCCTATTTTTTCTTTCAGCAACTCCATTTTGTTATGGAGTATCAACGCAAGAACTGTGATGAATAATTCCTTTTTGTTTCAAAAAATCACCTAAGATTGCATTAAAATATTCTCGACCATTATCGTTTCTAAGAACTTAAATATTTGCTTGAAACTGAGTATTGATCAGTGAGTGAAAATTTTTGAAAACACTTGCTGCCTCGGATTTTTCTTTTAGTAAATAAATCCACGTGACTCTAGTGTGATCATCAATGAATGTGATGAACCATCTAGATCCTGAGGCTGTTTTTACTCGTGAAGGGCCCCAAATATCACTATGTACAAGAGAAAAAGGTTTTGATGACATATACTTTAAAGATGGATAAACAGATCTATGATGTTTTGCCAATTCACAAGCTTCACACTGAAAAGAAAAACCGTCCTTTTTTTTGAAAAGATTTGGAAACAAATATTTCAAGTAATTAAAACTAGGATGGCCTAACCTATAATGCCACAACATTATTTCATTCTCACAAGACAAGGTAGTAAAGCATCTCGGTTTCTGAACTTGTTTATCTGAAGGATTGTCCGTGACCAAGTGATAGAGTCCATCAACCTCCTTAGCATTGCCAATCATCTTCCCGAACAAGGGTCCTGAAATTCAAATCCAGCAAATTTATTGTAGCAATGCATTTGCAATCATGAATAATACGATTAACAGAGATGAGATTGCAAGAGAGCTTTGGGACATGTAGGACATTTAGTAATGTGAGATGGAGAAAATAATGATAGAGCCTTTTCCAGCTATAGAGGTTAGGGAGCCATCAGCAATTTTACCTTCAGATTACCAGATAAGGAAAATCAGATTAGATGAGATAAAGGAAAAAGATGAGAATATGGTCATACTGGTCATGTGAATGAGAACTCATTAGTTGATACAATTGCTCTAGTTGTTCTTTGCTGAAGGCAGACAGTTCTGAGGCAGGTTTCGGCTCTTCAGATCTTCAGATGAGGCATGGAATCCCTTTGCATTACGAGAATTTCGATTGGCTGAAAAATTCTCGGCTGGCTTCCCGTGTAGCTTCCAACACTTGGCTTTAGTTTGTCTCGGCTTGTTGCAGTGCTCGCAGATTGGCCGATCTCTGTCGTTCCGACGATCGTTGCGACGTGGTGGCTGACCCGAGAACAAGGCAGAAGACTCGGTGGGATTTGGTGAGTGGCCTCCAAGCATGACTGTCCGCCGGCTCTCCTCTCGTCTGACTTCGGAGAAGACTTCTCTTGTGCTTGGTAGTGGTTCACGACCAAGAATGCGCCCTCTGACTTCATCCAATTCCTTGTTAAGGCCGACAAGGAATTCAAAGACGCGTTCTTTTTCCACCATCTTCTGGAATAGAGCCCTGTCCTTAGCACAACTCCATTCGTAGTCGCTGAACATGTCAACCTCTTGCCACAAGGTCTTGAGTTCAGTGTAGTATTGAGTGACAGTTTTTTCTCCTTGTTTTAGCCTCCATAACTGAGTTTTTAGTTCAAACCATTGTCCTGCGTTCCCGAGATCAGAATAGGTCTCGTTCACAGCATTCCAAATGTCATGAGCAGTAGGTAAGAGATAAGTTCTCCCTACACTCGGATCTATGGAATTTATGAGCCAAGACATAATCATCGAGTTTTCTGCCTCCCATCTTTCAGATTCTTCATCTTCTTCGACAGGTTTCGTAGTGGTACCTGAGAGATAGCCGAATTTTCCACGGCCACGAATAAACAGTTTCACAGATTGTGACCTGTAAGAAATTATTTCCATTCAACTTGTGAGAAGTGATGGATATGTTTGGAAGGATTCAGTGTTTAGGGTGATTGAAGGTGAGCGAGTAGAACTCATAGAGTCGATACCAGAGGTATCATCGTATGGTTTGGCCATTTTGGCTCTGATACCATAAAGACGGAAAAAAACTTGTTCCGAATAAATCGTGTTTATTTCTGCTGAATATGGCTGACTTAAATAGAGTTTACAATGTAACTTTACATAAAAAGATGCATAAATTAGCAACAGAATAAAATGATTCTATAATTAAAAATGATCCTATCTAATAACTAATAAAAAAAAACTAATTTTATCTAATTAAAAATGATCCTATCTAATAACTAATAGAATAAAAACTGATTCTATCTAATTAAAATTGATCATATCTAATATTTAATTTAGATATTCTCGACAATTAGTACATGAATTTGAACTCTTCGGTGCTTTCATGATTTTGGCGCTTCGGTTGAAGTGATTGAATATGTCCGATCGGTCCTGTTTGAGTATGGAACTGTGCAGCTTTAGTTTTACATAGTTTCTACCTTTCTAGTTTATGGTGTCAAGATGTTAAACCTTGAAAATTTTGTGAACAAGTTGAGGATTTCATTATTCTAAGTTTCTAACTTATGAAGTTGTTTAGTTGATTTGACTAGGTGAACCCCAAGTGCACGTCATTTTTTAGTTTTGGTACGCCTAACCTTGGTTTTTTTTTTTCGTTCTCCTTTTTCTTAATCAACGACTCGAGGGAGAAAGAGATTGACATAGTTTTAGTTATGCTGGAATAATACTTGTTGGTTGCTGATATCTCCATGCATGATGTAGGTGAGTGATAAGATGGACCCGAAGGAACTTGTCAAATTGTGAGAAATTCTTATACCTCAGAACAAACCCGGAAGACTGACAATAATCACCCGAATGGGAGCTGATAACATGCGGATAAAGCTACCACATCTTATTAGGGCTGTCCGCCAGGCTGGGCTTATTGTTATCTGGGTCAGTGATCCCATGCATGGAAACACAATTAAAGCTCCATGTGGTCTCAAAACTCGTCCGTTCGACGCCATCAGGGTAAGAACTCTTAAAATTGAATCTTTTCGCAAACACTTTTTGGACCATGACAAAGCCAAAATGAGACATGCTTTTGTCCTTTTTTCTTTGTTGCTGTTAGGCTGAATTGAGGGCGTTCTTTGATGTTCATGAACAAGAAGGGAGCTTTCCCGGGGGAGTTCATCTGGAAATGATGGGACAGAACGTAACAGAATGCATTGGAGGATCAAATACCGTGACTTTCGACGACTTGAACTCTCGGTATCACAGGCATTGTGACCCCAGGTTAAATGCATCGCAGTCGTTAGAGCTAGCCTTTGCCATATCAGAGAGGTTGAGGAAGAGAAGGCTCAAGTCTGCTAATGAATTTCTCAATGCGAGCAAAGTTAATTAGTTGATCTATAGGATAAGCCAGTCAATTGATCAAACCTTGATTCTCTCTTGAGAAAATATTTATTTGGTAATTTTGTTTATCGGTGTCTTATGCCTGCAAAGAAAGCTTTCAAGAACTATTATGAATAACTCGCCTTCTCAAATGGAGCTCTGAACTATTATCCTCGTTTGATAACAAGTAGCCTATGGTTGTGATTTCTGAATGTAGGGTTTTATATTCAGAATTTGGTGAATTCATTGGATAAAAACTTGTGTAACATTGAAAGTACAATCTAAAGTGATAATCCATTGTTTTATAGCATATGGAAAAAGGCTGTTAAGCAACTTACGACGATGTTGGTCGACTGGATTGATTGCAAAGTCTGTTTGTAATATTGTTAGCATCCAAAGCAATGCAAAACAATACAATGTTTCACAAAGTATGCAATCTACAATAAGAGACATCCATTAACCATATTGTACACACACAAAGGCAATACAACACCCATCCGTTCAGTCTGCCACTGACATCATGTTCTCACACAGTGGCATCAAAGTCACCACTGACATCGATTTCAGATTCTAAATCCCCTTCAGCGTCATCGGGGTCGGAGGAACCAGCAACAGCTTGTTCACCAACTTTGGCTCCTTCCGCTGTTGTCGTCTTTGCCTCTTGTATGATACACATTATTTCTTCTACGCTTTGAGACAGTTGGTCACGTTCTGATTCCGCAAAGTTTGTTTTTTCGATTTCAACCAGTTCTTTCGGTAAATTTTTCAGAAACCAAGGATGCTGCTTAATCTCCGGGATGCTAATCCTCTGTATGTAATCAAAATGTGTATATCATTTAAATCAGATGCAACTAAGGTTTTTGTTGAACTACGAAGTTTACAAATAAGAAGAAATGATACCTCGGCATGATTGGCAACGAAGATACGGGAAAGAAGATGTCGGCAATCCGCAGACACCCGTACATAGTCAGGTATAGTGTATTTAACACTCATTATTCTCTGTTTCAACAAAATCAATTGAACTTCGCATCAAGAAGAAAACTGGAAATGATAGCTCATGTAAGAGCCAGATTTGAGAACTTACTCCGATGGTCTTACGGAAATTCCGAGGATCACCGGGATCCTCAAAAGGGTATGATCCAACCAACATCACGTATAATGTCACACCACAGGACCAAACATCTGCAATCTACAACAGCTATCAAATGATCAAATTAACCAAATAATAAGGGAAGAGATTATCTATGCTACAAGCACAAATTTATATTCGAGGTTGAATGTCTACATTTGATTAGAAAACAAAAAGAAAATTTATACCTTTCCATCGTATTCCTTTCGTGATAGGACTTCCGGGGCAATATACGCTGGTGTTCCAACAGTTGATTTTGGTTGTGAATGCAGCACCGCAGACTGTTCAGTAAAGAAATTAGAGAACTGAACATTGAAAAATAGAGTAAGAAGAGTAGATTCCATCAAAGATCAGGTTTATTTCGAATTCGGAATAGAACCTTGGAGTATCCGAAGTCACATATTTTAAGTCGCGGTGTCGGACTTCCATCGAGGAGTGTGTTTTCTAGTTTCAGATCCCTGTGACAAATTTGCTGCAGCAGAACTATAGAATGAGGGATGGAAGTCACCATCAAACAGAATCTCAAAAGGTTACTTATATTTTCATAACTTACCATTGAATGACAGTAGCTGACTCCAGATATTAACTGCTGGAAGAAAAACCTTGCCTTTCAACAAGAAAAATATCGTAAGTAAACATGAATTCAAAATAATTCCAAGACAGGTGAGGAAGAAAGATTAGCTCATTCAATTGAATGTGGATAGAAACACACTTCATCTTCGCTAAATCGACCAGCGCTGCATATTCTCTCGAAGAGTTCACCTCCGGCAGCATACTCCATAACAATAGCTAAATGTGTTGGAGTCACCAAAACCTGCAGAGAAATGTGAAGTTTAGTATAAAGCTAAGCATATAATGTTCGAACCCAAAATTCCACGAGTATAGCTACTAACATTTAATAAAACAAATTTCTCACCTCTTTAAACCTGATTATGTTTGGATGTCTTAAAGATCGGTGGTTAATGATTTCCCTCTGAACATTTTCATCAATCTGAAATCAGAAAACAGAAACGGTACATTAACATGTAGTGTGAGAATGTGATTCCAATACATTCAAAACACAACACTGTTTCACACATAGAAAACCGAAAAGACAAGCACCACGACCATTGAGGAAAACTGCGAAAGAAAGACAGACACTTTTGTAATGGCAGTAGCAGATAGGAAGAGAAAAACATCATAAATCATGTCAAGAAGAATATGAAATATCATGGACTTGGACCTGAGGACATTCACCATATATTGCTCTCATTTTGCTTGAAGTACTGATCTCCAAAGCATATTGGACATGAGCGTGATGATATGACCTTCTAAGTACATGGGAAACCTTGAAAAAAACGGAACAAACCCTTGTCGCAGCTAAGTTCAAGTAGCATAGTTCACCATATGAACTTGAGTAACTTGAAATTCCTTTCAACGATAATCATCTCAGTTCTTTTCATCCATAACTCAATGTACAGATTCTAAAACACGAACCAAATTACTCATTGACTCCCCTTCAATTTTACATATTCCCCATTGGTAAAACTGTTCACACCGGAATGACATTGACAAATGCAAAACTGAAACTAGAGCTTGTTAAAAGTAGATTTATAAGCAGCAAAAGTAAACCTGGGAATTTTCAACAACCCATCTTTCTTTCTTCACAAGAAAAACTTCACTTTCACTATGAAATTATGGTCCATTATTAGAAAACTACAGTCCATTGAAAAGCATAACACAAGCATGATTTAACCAATCTCCAGACATGGAGAAATCAAAACAACTTTCTCTGAAAGACCAGAAGTTAATCAATTAGCAAACCACATCTATAAACTGCAAATCTCTCATTGTAATATATGCAAGCAAGTGGTCAACCATATTCAAAATCAAACATAAACAATTTTCCATGTTCAAAAACCGATCACCGGACATCAAATTTCCCCAGATTTTATGATCCAGGAATTGCTGCCAATTCAGATAAAAATGAAGAATAAGATTACCTTCTTTCCTCTTTCAATATATTTGACCGCGACAAGCTCCTTTGTTTTCTTATCTTTTACCAGCCTTGCCACTCCGAAATTCCCTGATCCAAGCTCCTTCAATGGCTCGTATATATCCTCCATCACCACCGAAAAAGAGGGAAAATTATAAAGAAAATGTGAAAACAAGACCCCAGAGATGAAAAGCTATCAAAGAGAAATAGTTCCTTTTAGGAGTTGTAATATATATATATATATATATAAACCAGAGAGAAAATTAGGAAGAAATAGTCCTTGAAAGCAAGAACACTGCATAACCAGCGAACTCTTTTGTTACAAGTCAAGCCATTTTATACACTTCATGTATTTATCAAACAAACAAAAAATATCACACAACCAATAAGATTAAAACAAAAACTATAAACGTTTCAGATACTCTAAAAGCAAACAAACTTAGGAAAGGTAAAGGACACAAGTGTTCTTCGCTGTGTCACGTTGTTTTATTGAGTAAAACTTATAAAATGATAAATACATTATAAAATATTATCTTATTCAGTTTTAATTATTAATAATTATAAGATGATGATTTGATTATTTATGTCTTTTAAAATTTTCTTTTGTTAAAATTTTGATAATCATCTGAGTTGAACGTCAACCTACTAACTGAGATATGATAAAATTTTATTCTAGAACCATTTGTGTCGTATTTCATGAATCGACTCTATATTTACATTCTCAATCAACAGATTAACGTTCAAATTAGATGATCTTCAACTTTTTAACGAAAAATATGAGTTTAAAACATATGAATAGTCAAATAATTATTTAATAACTTTTAATAATCGAGATTTAATAAAACACTATTCTATAATTAAGAGATCACTATATAACTTTAATTTGAAGGACCATTTATATATTCACCTTTTAAAAAGTGGGTTATTTTTTCTTAAATAAGGATTTTGAAGGACATGTACAAGATGGAGGGGTGGTGTTGTAATTTTGTGAGGTGTTGGATAATGGGGACAAAGACATATGTAATACGAGAGCGGCTTCGGTTGAATGAAAGTATTATTGTTTTATATTTAAAAAGGAAATACTACTTAGGCTAACGTCAGCATGGGGCCCTTGATAAATGAACAAAGTTTGAATATAATCTAATGTATAAGTTTTGTAAGAACATAAACGGAATATTCTTTTCTAGGATAAACTAATTATTTAATATTTAATTATCAATTTTAGTTTATTTTAATATTTTATTTTTTTAAAATTATATTACGTTTAGTTTTTGTTTCATTTTAATATATACCGTAAAAAACTTAATGCATTTAGTACTTAAACTATCAGTTTTAATACATAAACTTTTCAATTTTTTTTAAATCTTAATGTTAAATTTTAAACAAAAATACTAAAATGAAATAAAATTAAACATTAGGCGTGGTTTTGAAAATTTGAAAGTTTAAATATTGAAACATACTAAATCTAACAGTTTAGGTACTAAACTCGTAATTTACCTCTTTTTCCTAATATGAGGATGCCTCTCCCGAAGCTGCCCGTAGTTAACGTCTAGGGAGAGTCAGATCGGTTTACGTGCAGTTGATCTCCTCAATCTTCGTCAAGGCCACCCTCTATTAACTAATTAAAGTTTTAAATAATTTTATTTTAAAATTTTATTTATTTGTTAAAAAATAAGTGCATGTTAACCAACAATCAGTTGATCTAGTGGGATGAGATATTATGTCCCTTAAGTAATGTCAGAGGTTCGAATCATGACGTTTGCGAATGGAGCAAACTGAGTTGGGAGAGTCGCCCTCACCTCTACAGTACCCGATCTAGATTAGTCGGTTAATAGATCGGATACCAGTGAATAATTAAAAATAATAATTGTATGTTAAATTTTACTCAATAGAACAAAAGGTTAAATTTTATATTAATTATTTATTTATATTTTGTATTAGAAATTCATGTTATGGTTTTCATTTATAAGAATTACAAAATAATAAATTGAAATTTTTTATGCGAGTAAAATGATTTTTTGAGATATATAGAATTTAAATTTGACCCCGATTTAATATCACACGTTATATATTTAAATTATAATTGAATTTTAAACGTGTGACTTTTATCCTTATTTTAAGTAATTTAATATTTTTAATACATTTTAAATATTTTTTAAAATAATAATACGTTATTAACACATGACATAATTTTATTTTTAGTATTATTAAAATTAATATTATTAATAAAAGTATCAAAACTATGTATAAAATACAAATTTTAATATTAATTTAACAATAAAAGTTATTTAGATATCAACTTAAATGAAGATATCTAATTTAAATATTTATATTCATATTTTGAAAATCTTAAACAGAAAACTAGTCTACTTCTTCAATGGTACGTAAATCAGATTAAATGCCTAATCACTTTCGGTATAGGGAACCTTAATGATGCATTAATTCCCGAGTTGGAAGGATTACCAAATAAAGATATTATAATTGAAGGAATATAGGTCTTGATTCAACCAATCTTGAGTAGAAAAATGAGAGATAAGGTAGGTGTACCCAATCTATGGTGCCACTGCTATATTATTTTATTATATCATCACTAATTTTAAATATTTGAAGATCTTAACCAGGTTTTTGAACAGAAAAAACAATTTTGAAAAATATTAACAATAACGCAATTTTCAATAAAAAATAAAATATAAAATACCAAAGTTTTACCTATTTTATCTTTAAATATATTTTTAAATAACATGAGATGGTTATAAAATAATATTTGTTTATAATTTTCTTAATCTGTTAATAATATATACGTTTCAAATATAATTCTTTTAATCTTTAAGGAGACATTTTTTCCCCTTTTATCATTAATGTGTATCGTTACATAGATAGACAGAGCGGAGGAATTAGTGTAGACAATTGTTTCATTGAAGTTTTTAAATTATCATATATTTTAGATATTTTTTTTGTTTTCTATTGATAATATATTTTCATTCTTAAAATTTTATAAGTTTATTTTCTTTTTAAAATTATAAAAATTAACTTCTCTTCATGTAAAATCACACATTCACCATTATGTATAAGAGGTGAGCACGAATAAAGTGAGTGGTCTTCGTGGTACATAAATTGTTATTCTTCTTAAAGATCCGGTTTTAAGCACTATCTTATATTTACCCTAAATTAATAAAAAAATTAAAAGAGGTGAAATCTAATGTTGCCACATTGTACTACCAACTTGCCAGCAAATTCGGTCTCTTTATTGGTCATTGGTGGTTCATGGGCCTTAAGGACATTATATGTTTATGTATTTCGTAAAATATAATATAATATACGTGTATTATTGAACTTGTAAATCTTAACTTTCGAAATTTTTGTGTGTGCATAAATTATTATCTTCTTTGGTTCGTGTTGAGACAACATCATAACGAGAAGAAGTCTTAGTTAGACTGATCAATGTATAATAATTATTTATTTTAATGAGCAAGTATATTATAGAATCTTAATGACTCAAGTTTGTAACTCTTTAGGAACTTTGGTTTCAGCTAATAAAATTATTAACTTTAGCACCAACACGTGGTTTCGTGAAAAATGAATTATTATTATTATTTTTTGAGGACTCGTATTTAAATATCATAGATGTTCAGAGAATGAACATTTAATGTCAGATATTCTTTGATTTATTCTTAATAATACTATATTAATGTGACTTCTCTGTTTCCCATTTGTCAACTTATGTTGTCTTGCCTCATTTTTTTTAAATTTCTCATTTAATGAGAATTTTATATATTTTATAAGTATCAACTCGGAGACGTGTCAATTATTTTCATAATTGCATAAAAGAAATCGTTTCTCTAATATTTTTAACAATTTCCCAGCGTTGAAACATAGAAATATTGTTTATTAAGATGCATGTATACATCTTCCTTATCCACTAATTTTTTCTCCATTGACGTTATCATGAATAATCTTCATTGACTTTATCGTGAATAATATATAAGGATTGTACATTTTTTTTTCACAAAATTTAAACAATTTTAATCATTTACATGATATATAAATAACGTTAACTTGATAAAAATATATAATTAAACTTTTTTATTAATTTAAAGTGGTAACAAGATTATATATGTTCGAATTTTTTCAATCTAGTAATAAATAGGCATACACACTATAGATCCCGCTATTCAAACTCAAGATCTCTAAGATAGCAACACTCCTTTTAACTATTAAAGTTGATTAATAGGTTTAAAATATATAATTAGACTATCATTATAAATCATGTAAAACATATGTTAATATGAAACTTTTTATAAATTTAACGCATACATGTATACATAGATATACAAAACTTAACTTATCAAGTAATTTTAGTAATAAAATAAAATATTATTTTCTTTAGAGATTCTGAATTTTAATAACTACATTTATAGGATGTGTGTATGTTATTTATAAATTAAAAAAATTATAAATAAATACTATCTTAAAATTATCTCAAGCTATTCAATATATATATATATATATATATATATATATATAACTTGTAACACGTAAAATATATGTTTATAAAGTTAACTACGTCCTTATAAAAGTATAATTAAAAATAAATTTCCTTTTTAATAGAAGATTGACAAGTGGCAAATGATGAAGGTGTTTTGACGTGTTTCCATTCCACGTTAAGCACAATAACTTCTAGAGAGATAAAAGATAATAAATATTCAAATAATTGTGTATTAAGAATTCTTAGTGTCCAAACAAAATGATATTTTGGGTAAACTATATTTTAGTACTTAAGTTATTATTTTTGTTTTTGTTTCAGTATTCAAATATTATTAACTATTAAAATCATACCTAATGTTTAATTTAAGTTTTAGTTTGGTATCATACTATTAAAAAATTAATAGAATTATTGATATGATATTTTTTATTTTTTCAATAATGATGCGACATTATCTTATAGTATTACCGTTAACTTTTTCAAAGCTTGGTACAAAATGAAATCTAAAGTAACCAATAGGTATGAATTTAAAAAACAATAAAGTTATATACTTAAACGAAATAAAGTAATAGTTTACGTATTAAATATGTAGTTTACCCACACATTTTTCAAATTTGTCCTTTTAAAAAGTCCCGACCGACCTCTCCTCTTCCTCCTATATTATACTCCTCCAGTTCCAGACCCGAACCAGAAAATTATTATATAAGGTAAGTTATGAGAACCTAAACTTTCCACTCTGATTCATCTGATTCTGAGTTTTGGTTCGATTCATCGCCGCTTTTGATTGTGAAGTGCGTTGAAAACGCTGTTGAGATCTTTAGTGGTGGCCGATGCTGCCGTTACCGCGACATCGCTACTCCACCGCCTGTTTTAATTCATTCTTATGTTTTCAGCACAATTTCGATAAATTTTATGAAAAGCTGTAGGATTGTATTTTATTTTCTTTGTTTTGAATTCAATTCTGGGTATCCCATTTTTAATTAACGTTGTTAATAAATATGCATGTTTATAATGTCTTTGCAGGGAGAGCAGAGTAAATCCTTGAAGCTATAGTCTAGAACAGCCTTTTTGTTTAGATTTTTTTTTTGCTTTAAATGGGCTGCTTTCATTCTAAAGTAACAAAGAATATCCAGAACACGAAGATCCCATTGTACTCGCTTCACAAACTGCCTGTAAGTTAGCAAATTATAACAAATTTCTCTTCATTGGGTTTACTCAGTTATTTTATTTGTTTCACGAGAGCATTTTTTTCAATCATCAGTCAAAAAATATGCGAACTAAGGAGGAGAAATTCAAAATTATTATTGGTTTCTTGTTTTTCTCAGTTGGTTTTGTTTGTATACGCAGTTAGTGTTAGTGAAGTTGAAGCACTCTTTGAGCTATTCAAGAGCATCAGCGGTTCTGTGATCGATGATGGGCTGATTAATAAGGTACTGTTCCGGGCTTCCTATGTGTCAACCAGAGATTTTCTTTTCTGTAATGTGATTTAACATAAAGATTATTGTATTTGACGTGTTGCATGGTTTTCATGACATTGTTGTTCAATTTGCAGGAAGAGTTTCAGTTAGCTCTGTTTATGAATAGGAAGAAGGAAAACATTTTTGCAAATCGGGTAATTTATTTTGTTGCTTTAGATCCTTATGGGAAATTAAATATTATTACTTAAAAGTTTTGAGTTCCACTATGCTTTTGTGTAAATTATGTTTGAGGGGCATGTGATGGCTAGCAACGAGTGATCTAGCTGCATAATAAACTATAGAATCGATTTTTGTTTTCAGGGCATATATTTATCACTTTTATCTCGGAGATTTTTTTTTGTATATAATTCTATGCTTTATAAGAGATGCCTCTCAGGCCAGCTTCTTTTAACATTGTTTATAGGCAACCTTCTTATACATGCAGATCTTTGATTTATATGATGCCAAGAAGAAGGGAGTCATTGATTTTGGCGACTTTGTTCGTGCACTTACCGTCTTCCATCCAAATGCCTCTCAAGAGGTCAAGACTGATTGTAAGTAAACAGTTGGTATAATCATCTTGAGTCACATAAAAAATGTTAATCTACCAGCTCAATTTTAATTTGATTGTTCTACATTGCAGTTGCATTTAAACTTTATGACTTGGATGGAACGGGTTTTATTGAGCGTAATGAGGTATTTTGAGCCTGATAAGCCTTTTATTTATATATCACACAAACTTCTTTGCAGGCAACTTCGTTTTAAGTGATTTTTGCAGGTCAAGCTAATGCTGATTGAACTTTTAGGTGAATCAGAAATGAAAGTAGCGGATGAAATCATCGAGGCTATTCTTGATAAGGTGAGAATATGTGTGGTAAAACTGAATATTTCAGTGGTCTTATCTAATACGATTAATTGTTTCCCAATGCAACCTTTTACTGAGACATGGGGATTTATGAGCAGACATTCTTGGATGCTGACATTAACCACGATGGAAAGATAGACATATTTGTCTCCCATATCTCACGTATGTATTTACCGATATTATTCCCAGCTTACCTAGAAACATTACTTTGCCTGAAAGCTCATCCATCCCGTAAATACGAATCATGCAGGGACATAACAACAACATTTCCATGCTTCATATTCAATTCGAAAGTAGACGAGGTTGTTACGTGATACCGGGGTATGTACCCGGTTGGTGCATCGAGTCAAAAGACTTTTTGCATGATATGTTGACACTGATTGTCTCTATGTGAATGAAGTAAAAGCCTAGATTTTGTTTGCTAAGTGTAAGAGAGCCAGAGGCTAAATATGATTAGGATTGGTAGTTTTTATACCCCTGTATAGGCATTCAAGTTGACCTCTTTGGGTCTTTCCCATTTGTAATAATTGATTGATTTTATAGTGGAAAATGTTAGATTTGGTTTTCATGTTGATGGATTGCTTGAATACTTGACTTGGTCAAATAAGTCAACCTATCCTATTCTGATTGATCATGTTGTGGACTTGGTTAAATAAGTTTGTTTGACTGTAAATGGTTCAACAAATTCCAACTAGATGTGAATGTGCCAAGATAAACATGGGTTTGTCTTAATAAGTTTGTCTTAAAGCTGTAAGCTTCTGGGAAGTTGAGTACAAAGCCTATTTCAGCTGGTTGTTAAAAAGCTGTTGAAACTTCGTGAGGAGGCTAGGAACTTGTTTATTCCTTGTACTAATTGGAGCCTGATTAAGGGTAAATGGCTTTGGGATCAGATCAGAGTTCGTGCAGCGAAAGTTACTTGGCACAGGATCATTTGGTTCCCTGCTCATATTCCAAAATTCTCCCTTATTGCCTGGATGGCCACCCTTGATAGACTGCCTACGAGAGATAGGCTGATTAGGTTCGGTCTGGTCTTGGATCATGGATGTGTCCTGTGTGGGTCTGGGATTGAGTCCCGGGACCATCTCTTTGCTGATTGCTTCTTTGCTCAAGAAGTTTGGGATGCTGTGCTAGTCTCGTGTGGGATTCGTCTTGTTTCGCTTAATTGGGACGATTGCCTTCAATGGTTGATTGTTAACTTGAAGGGCAAATCTCTCAGGGTGAGGATTCTTAAGCTTGGCTGGACTGGTTTTTTGTATTACATTTGGGAGGAGCGTAACCATAGAAGCTTTAGGGGTGTTTCGCGTTCTGCTGATATGATTGTAAGTAGTATTAAAGATGCTGTAAAAATCAAATTGTATAGCTATAGTTTACAGGAGATTGATGATGCAAATAGGCAAGTGGGTATAAATTGGGGGTTGATCTAGTGCTGATTTTGCCTTGTTCTTGTAACAGCTTTGCTGTACTCTTTTTTGGATGAATATAATTTACTTATCCAAAAAAACAAGATAAACATGGGTAAACTACAAGTTTAGTATACAAATTATCACTTTTTTATATTTTGGTTATCTATTTTTTATAAATCATACTTATTATCTAGTTTTGGTTTCATTTTAATCTACCGTCGTTAAAAAGTTAACGGTGATGTGTCAATAGGTTATTTTAGTCTTTGAATGAAATTGAAAAATTACATCTTTGATCCCTTATTTTTAAATTATCACTTTTGCTTCAGGTTAATTTTGATTCAGGTTGTTTTCGATTCAGGTCAAATTGGATATGAGTCCATATTAGGTTAAGTAAATTTTGGATCGAGTATGATTCGGATTTCGAATCAAATTTGATCATGTTTGGGTCGGGTATTAGTTCAAATAAATCGGGTTCGGGTCGAGTTTTATTTAAATTAATAGTTACAATTTTTTATTAAATGAAAAAATTATTAATAAAACTCCTTTCAAAATTTATTGAATAAAATATTGAAATATAAAAATAAATAATAAGTATTGAAATTAAATCAGTTTTATATTGCAATACGATTAAGTCCTCATCTTGGCCCAATAATGGCCCAAATATGCATAGTAAAAGCCCAACAAAGATGTAGCACTGTGGTAAAACTGAGTCAACTCGGTTGATATGTCACCGAGTCGACACAAAAGGAACTGTTAAAATCAAAAGGGCCAAAACCTCAAAAGCAGAATTTCGCTTTGCTCCTTTTGTTTTTGAGAGAGCAGAAAAGGAAGGGTAAAGCACAATCTCCGACATGGATTTCTCAGAACAAGACGTCGACCTCTTTGGAGAAGACAACAACAACGACAATAGTGATGGCTCCCGCGAATCATCTTCCTCTCATTCATCTTCGTCAACGTCTTCCGCTTCATCGTCGTCTTCGGCTTCTTCTTCCTCCAACGGCAGCGGCGGAGGCGGCGGAGACAGCAGCAGTGCTAGTGGAAGCGCTAGCAGCGGAGGAGAAGAGGAAAACGGTGAAGAAGTAAGCAATGTTAATAGCACTAATTATGGTTATAATGAGAATATCGAAAGGAGTATTTTTGGATATGAAGAAGATGAAGAAGAGGACGGAAACGATCTTTTTGGGTCTTATAATGAAGTGTACTGTAAAACCCCTGCCACGAGCCCTTTCTCTATTCCTGGTAATTCTTTAATTGATTATTTCTCTATTAGATTCACTCATTTTGACCTGTAATTGGGGATTTTGAAGTGTACCGATTCCTTGTATTGGAGATTTATCTATGATATATATAAAACAGAAACCTTTTGGCTCGAACTCTGAGATTTAAGTTTTATGGAGTAATCTCAATGTGCAAGTAATTTAAAGTATACCGGCAGCTAGCTATTAACAGCTAAATTTAATATATAAGTTAAAGAGGAGTTGTTATGGAGTCCTTTTCGTCTGTTTACTGAATGTTTTTAAATTCTAAGATCACAAGAATGAAATGTGACCTATTATATTGCTTTATTTGATGAAATGTGACAAACTGACAATGTTATGCAGGAATATTTAAACTAGCGCCTGCCATTCTTGTAATATACACTGAATAGTTGAATTGATCTTTGGTTGAACCTTTTGTTTCCTGATTAAATGGTTACTAATCTTCTTTATTACTATTGTTTTGCAGTATTGCCTGTTATTCGTAATACTAATAACCCAGGCAGAGGAGGTTTTGGACGTGGTCGCTGGCACAATGATAGAGGAGCTGGTATCCTTGGCCGTCCTGGTTATCCTCCTAGGCAAGGTTATGGCTATGGCAACAAATTTGGTAATGGATATCGTGATGACCGCTTTGTTTCTGAGCTAAAGTTCTTAAAGAGTGAAGAGACATTATCTAGAAAATGCATTGCATTTCAGGAAGTGAGTGGATTACTTTTTCTTTTTTATTTAATGATCCATCAAATAATTATAGTTTGATATACCAAAGTAAGGCAAAGTTGTTATACCAAATTATATTTTTCCCTTTTAGATGTAGTGAAGGTGGTTGTCAGGATATTTCACATTTTTTGTTTTTGTTTTATGTTCATTTTTATGACCTTGTTGATGTGACTTGTAGTGTTTGTTTGGAGTTATTTTATACCTATAGATACCCTTTAAAGCCTGTAAATTATTTACTTCTGTGTACATGCACATACACCATGTTGTCAGGTAATTTTTTTGTGGGCTACCTTTTCTTAAATGTGGTACCTAAATTTGGCAGCCATGTGAACTTGCTTGCTATAGTCGTGTAGAAGGTGGAGATGTCTACTTTGATGACCGCAGCTTGGTAAGATTTACGGAAATCAGCATTGTAACTTTCAGTAGGTCTATTGTCCTTGTTGTCCTCCTCATTAGCTCATTTTTTATGCCCTTTTATTGTTTGCATCATCAGAGGCTTTTTAAGCGTCTTATTACTGAAGAGATTGGAGCTGATCTCAATCAAGGTTTTGATACATTTACTGAAAAAAAGGGTATGGTTTATTCATGAAACATTGGAAATTGTTCATGTTGAAATTGTCTTGTGTTGTGGTGATGTACATTATACTAGCATTTCTTATGTTTATTCACATTTCTTTGGTGTTCTGTATGAGGTCTAATCAATGCTGCCAACCTTGTGATTTTTCCTGGACCAGAATTAGGTTCCGAGGGTTTTGGTGACCTTCTTGCTTGCATAAGAGACAAAAATATCCCTCTTCAAAACATTCATTTTGTGGTATGGAAAATGATATTCTTTGACCTATGAATTTGTCATTTAATTCTTTTACTAAGGATATCATCTAACAATATTCCCTAATTTTTTGTAGACTTTTCGCAACAATCTTAATAAGGTAATTGCTTCTAATAAGAATGCACACTCCTTTCTTTTGATTGACTTGAATTACACAAGCATAGAGAATCTATGTTCTTCTGTCCTTTTACCTTTTATATGAACAATCTCAATACCACTAATCTTTTTTCACTAATAAGTGGTGATGGCATTTATCTGAGTTTTCAATTATGAACTTGATGGATGATAAACCACCTTTTTTTATGTATTTCGTTGGACTGCCTCTTGTTGTCATGCAGATAATGGCTGCCGCTTACATTAAAAATGAGCCTTGGGAAATGGGAGTGCACAAGCGGAATGGTGTTGTCTATCTCGATGTGCATAAACTGCCTGAGAGACCACGGAGTGAGTTGGATCGTCGAAGGTACCAAAACTTTTATAGCACCCCCTTACTATAATATTTATTATTATTCCCTGTGGGTCAGCAACATGAAGGAATCAAATGCTTTGAGGTGGTGTGTAGCCCTGTTGATTTTTTATATTGCTTATTTAATTGACTTCAAGTTCTAATTGCATTACTTTTGCTTTTTTTTTTTTAAAAATTTAGAGGTTATTGGGGGTATTGTTTTGAGAGCCTTGCCACTGAAGATCCAAGAAGTGATGATGGTGAAGGAATACATCATGTTGATGCCAATGTTGAATACTGTTCGTTGATCAAAACCAAATTAGGGGCTCACCGTATTCTGATGGGTGCTGAAATGGATTGCTGCGATTCAACAGATGAGGGAAGAAGATTTTTTGTGGAGTTGAAAACAAGTCGTGAGGTAAAGATGCAACTAGGTTAATGGTTCATGATGCTCAATGCTTCACTTGCTGCCTTCTCATTATTGTAACAGTTTTTACCAGTGTAATTTGTGAATGTGTCCCTTCCTTTGCAGTTGGATTATCATACGGAGGAAAGATATGAAAGAGAGAAACTGCTGAAGTTTTGGGTATGTTTTTTTGTCCAATGGACTGTTGGCTGTTCCTGGTTTGTTCTTACTTTGAAGTTCTGCATGCAAATTATATATCTTACTTTCAGATTCTTACTTCATTATTTTATTTTATCATAAATTTTTGGGAAATGGTGTTCTTCCTTTTCAAGTTAGCCTTTGTTTGTGGAGAAAATAACTTGATTGTTTTGTCATCACAGATTCAGTCATTCCTGGCAGGTGTTCCTTATATTGTTATTGGATTTAGGTAATTTCAGTTGGCATTTCCTACTAACTTAATTTTCCATAAGATGCCACTCATTCTTTACTTGTGTGACTAGAAACTCACTTTGTTCCAAAACCAAGTTCAGACATAAGTACATAACAGAGATAAAAAGAAGAAACTGTTTCGGGGTGTGTGTGTGCACTCTCTAAAAATGCCGAGCTGTATTTATCCAGAAAACAATGTTGAGCTGCGTTCAGTTCCATGGTTCTGTTTATAGTAGGTTTTTCTCTTTTTCAATTAAAATGAAGTTTTCCATTGACGTGTTTGATCTAGGGATGATTCTGGCCGACTTGTACGCACCGAAAGACTAAGAACCAAAGACATCACTCATCGAGTGAAAATGAAGAACTACTGGCAGGTATACAGCAAATGCATCTAATGAGTTGATTATTCTTGTCTAAAAAAATGTATTCCTATTGGCATAATCAAAGATATTATGCTGTGATAGTGAAGAACTACTCACGTGCAACAAAGATTTCATGGTTTTATACATGCACCAAGCTGATTTTTTTCCCATTTTGGAATTTCATTGATTCATTGTGCTATAAGTAAACTTTTTTCCTTGTTTGAAACTAATCTATAGGGAGGAGTCTGCCTGGCATTTGCTGATGAGGTATTGTGCTGGCTTTACGGAACAGTCAAAGAGAGTAAGATTCTAACTTCCATTTCCCCTTGAAATGTGCTCGAGCTCCTTCTGTTGTTTCTAATTTAGTAAAATGAACATCAATCATGATGGAAGTTTTGCTAGTTCCTTGACTCAGTAATCTATGCAGCTAATTATTTAGGTAATGAGTGATTGTTCTGATTTCTTTTGTTGGGCATTAGACGAGGACTACATACTGCAGTTCGCACCACCATTCAACCGGTTAGAGCTTCTACAAGCGCAGTCTTGCCCCAATGCGATTACTAACCACGTCGAACAATTGTAGCCGTTGGCGGGCATCTTGTTAGTTTGTGATTCAGATAGTTCAAATACAGGATTAAAGAGGATGGTTTATCTTTTTACCAACTCAGCATTGTGCAGTTGAACATTACATCACACATGATAAAGTACCCCCCAAGTTCAGCCTTTTTGAGAAAAATATTTGTAGCATTGTAAAGGCATAAAAAAACCGCAACTTGGTGCTGGTAGATTGAAAAGGAAAGGAAACAAAATTCCTTGGTAATGATCTATTTGCCCAACTAGTTTTCTTTTCTTTCATTCCCTCATTTGGACCATTGATGTTACTTTCACACTTATGATGAAAAATTGTAAAAATGTAAAATTTCCAACATATAAAGAAATTTTGGTTGGAATCAAGGTGTTTATTGTCGGTGGTAGTAATTAATCATTTTTATTATTTGGAGGTAGGCTGATCATTAAATAAATATTTTATTCTTATGTGAGGATTAAGATTAAAATTCCTATCATATGGTTTAACAATCACACACTTTATGATTGTAAAATTGAATCTTTAAAAACTTTAAAGCAGTCCCGAAGCTATCCGCCGCCGATAATCGGCCATTTCACCGGACTTAAGACTTCTGTACCGATTTAACGTTATATCTTTTCTAGAAATTACTCTTCTACCTCTACCCTGTTTGTTTCCACATCCAGCAACTATAAAGTGAAACCTTGCGCCCCCCCCCCACCCAAAAAAAATAATCTACACAACAAATAACCTGTTTACATCCCTCATCCATATCTGATTTTGAAACCAAAAGAAGACCCTATATTCTCGGGGGCTAAGGTTGTTTGCGTCATTTCATGTTTAGCATCGGCGATAACGGAAGCGACTAATACCATCGCCAACGAAAAAAAAGAAGAGATAAAGAGAGAAGATGTACAGAGGGGACAGAGGGATTGGGGCGGTGGATCGGAAGCGGGTCAACGAGGTGCTTGATAAGCAGCTGGAACGATCGTCGCCCTCCACTTCGAGAGTGATCAACGGCAAGGATAAGTCCGCACGTTACCTCCTCACGGGGAAGCATCCAACCGATCATCATCGCGACTCTCGCTCCGTTTCTCTACCCAAAGCAGACGCCCAAGGTATATACGTAACAACTTCTCCCTCCCTCTTTCTATATCTAAGTTCGGATTATTTTGTTAAAAAATGGACTTTTCCCTTTTGAAATGAGAAAATTCGAGAATTTGAGGTGCTTTTTTCCTTCTATATCTAGGTTTTGACAGTATTTTGTATTCGAGAAATTAAGTTATCTATTATTGTTATTAATTTGAATATGTAATGTAATTGGAGCTGGATGTAAATAAAATACGAGTTTTTTTTATTGTTATTAATATGAATTTTGTCGAAAACACATTAATAACGAATAAACATTGAAGTTTATTAATTTGGATGTAAATAAAATTGCCTCAGCTTTGGTGTGAGGAGATCATATGGATGTTTGTTTATAGCTCAAACGAACCATCATTTCAATTCCTTGAATCCTAAGTTTGTTTTTTCTTTCTGCGTTTACCCCTTCATCAAGGAAAAAGGGGTGGGGAGCATTTCCAAAATTAAATGATGTCGAATACATATATGTTTTATGAACCTCTAAACATTCAGCTTTATGAACTGTAACATTGTATTCAAGGTTACTAATTCAGTTGATTCTTTTTTTTCTCTTATGTGAACCATGTTTTCGAAGAGAGGGATGATTAACTTTTGGTGTTCGGTGACATTTCTTTCCCATTTTACTTGTTAGGGACATATGCTGATGCAAATTTTTGTTGCATTGACTGCAGATGAATCTGATACAGACAGTGAAGAGTCGGATGTTAGTGGTTCTGATGGGGATGATACATCTTGGATCTCATGGTTTTGCAACCTACGTGGAAATGAATTCTTTTGCGAAGTAGATGATGACTACATACAAGATAATTTTAACCTTTGTGGGCTAAGCAGCCAAGTTCCTTATTACGATTATGCACTTGATTTAATTTTGGATGTTGAATCCTCCCATGGTAAACTTACTGTTTCCTTATTCTCTTCTCAAGTTGTTACGAATACTATGTGTAAATTTTTGTTACTTGTTGAAGCCTTTTGTTCCATTCTGCTATTTGTTTTTGGAGACTTGAGAGAGTGTTAATGGTAGTCTATTCGTGTTCTTCAAAGCAGAGAGTTTTATGACATGCTTATACTCTAATCTATATGCTTCAAATTTTGATGAAGGCAAAAATTTGAATGTTTTTCTATATTTATGTCCTTGATGATAATAATTCTTTAGTTTAAGTGAAACATATTATTTATGTCATCTAGCAACATGGAACCGTAATGTTGTTGGGGCTGAAATTGATAGGAGATATGTTTACAGAGGAGCAAAATGAATTAGTTGAATTTGCAGCAGAAATGCTTTATGGTCTGATTCATGCCAGATACATATTGACAAGCAAAGGAATGGCTGCTATGGTGAGATGTTTGACATTATATTTGGTGTGATAATTTCATGTTTTGAAATATACGTAAATTCAACAACCAGATTTGACAATATTCTTTTAAAAACTTTTACAGCTAGATAAGTACAAGATCTATGATTTTGGAAGATGCCCCAGAGTTTACTGCTGTGGACAACCTTGTCTTCCAGCTGGTCAATCAGATATCCCTCGGTCAAGCACTGTAAAAATATACTGCCCTAGATGTGAAGATATCTACTACCCTCGGTCCAAGTATCAAGGCAGTATCCTTTTGGCCATTGAACTTATTTGCTTCTTCTTGTTGCATGGATTTTATGGGGGAGATAACATGCATGCCATAAATAGATTTTTTTTTGTCACTAATAAGTTTATGATATTTATATATATATATTTTTTTTTATAGAAGTTGGAGGTCTCATTAAAAACTCTTTTCGTATTCGTCCACACACTAAGAAGTATATTAACGAACATTGGAAGGAAGAAAAGAGTACCTCATAGTTTATTAATAATAATACCCAATACATAAGAAAACACAGATATGATGATATACACCATTACAACAAATACCTTAAACTCTCACATCCTCAACCAAAAACCACAATCGACAAATACCCTATTTCTAAGATACACCTCCAGTATTAGGATAGCAAACAACTCAAAATAACATAACACAAAAGAAAACCAACACCTGCAACCTTATACACTATATCAAAGTCACAATTGAAGAGACGAGATCTAATGAGAATCTACTTCGTCAGGGACCCAAGAGTTTGGTTTGAATGAAGGCTTAATCTCATGCACCATGATTTTGAAGGAGTTGTCACCGACCTTCAATTTCAACGTCTCATTAATTCTCACATGAAGATTTGTGAGGACTTGAATTTTTACCCGATCAAAAGATGATGGTGACTGAAAACTTTCGTCGATTGCTAATAAATAACCCCACTTATTTGCAATGTTTTTGAAATTATCCCAATTCCAAGCATGAAAAGGAACACCCTTGCAAACTAACCACACTCGACGTCGCTCCACTACCAAACTCTCTAACCAAGCTTCAACTCTGGAGAACCACTTTGCAAGTATCTCTGATTTATCGATCTTTACACTTCTCAAATAAGCCGAGTCTTCGAAAACCAATAGAACTGCATTTCCAACAGTTCTCATTATCGAGAAATCGGTGAGGCCCTTGGCTTGCATTTGATTAGCAAGATTACTGATTTTGATAAAGTTCTTACACCACCCACTAGACAATTACTCAATACGAGAGTTTATCGTCGTCCACCACTCCTTCAACTTCACAGTGATTATTCCTCGAAACAACTTCCATCCCAGACTTGCGATGAACAGGTGTCGAGGACTTTCTCCAGTAGGAATGTCGAGGTTTGAATTTAGCGAAAGAAATACCAATTTTGATGCCGTCAATATGAGCACAATTCATTTTTGAGATATCTTTCCTTGCTTCTTCGATTGTTGCGAAGCGAATGAAACCAAAGTGAACTCATTTTGAATTTCTTTTATTTGGAATAAAAGCATCAATTACCCGACCGTAGGTGCAAAATAAAGATCCAAACCTCTTCTAATGGATCTTCTCTGGTAAATTATCAATAAATAACGTGTAGCATCCAGACTTGTCATTGATGCACTCTTTTATAGTGGACTCCTTGGTTCCATCGTGGACAACATCTACGGCAGACTTTTTAACACAACACCCAGATTTATCAGGCACATGAATACTTGGAGATGCTACAGGAGCTGGATTTGACAGTGGCAGTACAAGAGGAACAGGATAACATCCTTACATGTCAATTGCATCAGAATCTGTACTTATTCCTCTTTTAACAACTAGATTCTTCTTTGCCATCTCAATGTGCAAAAGGGACTTTAACTTGGCATCAAAAACCATCTCCTGAAGGGCATCCTTGGCAGCAACTGCAAATTTTGCATTAGTGAAGAGAGCGAAACCCTTAGGCTTTTCTCCCTTGTAGCTCACTTGCGAGACTTCATAACCTGGAAGCCATCTCGGCAAATTCTGCAGCTCTCTCTCTTTGACATCTTCAGGCAGACCTGAAATGAAGATAGTACGAACCTTGTCATGAAGAGAAGGGTGAGATGGCGAAGAAGGCGAGGCTGTAGAGGGCGGAGGAGCTTGGACCGGAGGTCTCTGTTGGTGACAAGGGTGGATTACAGCACCCGGCATATGAGGAAATCTCAGTGACCTGACGATATTTCTTGGTCGCGCGCCCGGCGATGGAGAATGCTGTGACTGTCGGCAAAGAAGAGAAGGGTGGAAGTGATGAAGAGAGTCGGACAGGTAGATCTTGAGCCTTAGAAAAGGTGGAACAGCGGAGTCGTCCTTCAACGAAACCCTCATAGTAGATCGGGATCGTGAAATCTGTGACTATCGGCGAAGAAGAGAAGGGCGGAAGTGATGAAGAGAATCCGACAGGTAGATCTTATGCCTGAGGAAAGGTGGAACTACGTAGTTGTCCTTCAACGAAACCCTCAGAGATGGATAAGATCAGTAGAATAGCTTGGCAGAACCATGGCTTGTTCTGTTTTTGTCGAACCGATCAAAGGCAGATTCACGGAAAATGGCAGCGAGTCTGTACGCTAGG